AAAAAAAAAAAAAAAAAAAAAAAAAAAAAAAGAAAGCACTCAGTACATGGTAGTTTATTGCTGTATATCTCAGAGAAAATCAGGAAATGGTTATTGCATTCCTGCTAGGAACGTTGTTTATTTTTTTGGGTCCAGCATTCTTTCTATGAGCCCCACTAAGCAGGATGTGCTTTCAAACACTCAAGACACAAACAGAATGAATGCTCCTTTATCTGCATGGTGGCGGGAGGCAGCCGGACAATAATCAGGCAAAGCTCTGAGGTGCGTTTATCAGGCTGCCTTGGTTACTTTATTTGGCAGTAATGACTGCAGCAGGCACTAGCCAATAGTGTTGTGTAAGGTGTCCAGAAAAAGACAAAGGTAAAAGTTATGAAGAGAAGTTGACTTGCCAGGTTGTCTCCATCTGAAAATGAGGTCAGCTCTGCAAAGCCTTGGGCAAGAAGGCCTCTGCTCCAAACTCATGGAGGGGAGACATTTGAACCCCGGATGAAAATGAAACAAAGATAGGAAGTCTGCTTGAGTGAGAAGGGGTGAACTCTGGCTGACCACAGCATCCAAATGAAATTTCTTGCAGAATGAGTTTCAGGCTTTAAAGTTGTGGAGAAACACTGTAAAGAATACTCATCAACCCATTAATCCAATAGAGCTGCTTATAAAATGCTATTTCATAAGACCAGAATATATTTGGTTTATTTACATATGTGTAACCGATCGTTCATCTTGCAAAGGTCAATTTTTTAAAATTATTTGATAATTTGTTAGCTCCTTATTGAGTTAGCGTATGCCGAATGCTTTAATATAATTTTATTTAAAGCTTAAATATCTTGAGATTCCCTATTTACATTTCCTTGAAATACATTTAAAATCAAAATTATACCAACTTATACATTGTGGCTCTTTAAAAATTGCTCATTAAAAATGACTAGCTATGAAAGCAGGCTGATAAATTACATAAACAGCATACAAATTGGGAAGGACATTATAAATATTCCTGTTCCCATGAAAGTGACTGATTTCAGCTCATACAGGTGAGACCTACGGTGTCCTGTGCAAGTGGAATTTTTCCTTTTCTGGTGTTGAATTATCAGGCTTGGCCATCCGTGAGGAACAGACTAACAGAATGGACATAATCTTATCTTTGCAGAGAAAAGAACTGATGAAAACAGGATTTAAAATCTATGTATAGCCTGATTCTTTTAAGACTTCTCCCTCACCCTTGCCCGTTTGGTTTGGAAAATCTGGATTTAATTTTTGTTTTAATGACTTAATAGACTTCTCAGGAAGTGTTAACTTTCGGATTACTGGGTCCTCTCACTCCCTGGAGCTGCGGTTACGGAGGATGACTCAGGGAATGCTGAGTCAGGGTATGGGTGTGCTGCCTCCAAAGCCAGTTATTGAAGGGTTTTTCTGATAATGTTATTGTTTCCAGATGCAGAGCCGAAATATCTCATAGTCGTGCGACCTGCTCCCCCTCCAAGTCAAAAGAAGTCATGTTCAGGTATAGTCCTTTGCATTTTTTTTTCTTTAATTTGAACCATGATTTTTCATCTCTTTTGGACCCGTGGAGACCAAATGCCTTGGGAAGCTTTAGGAATGTAGAGGAGGTGTCTGCCATGGGTCAACAGTTTACCCTGTGGAGAAGAAACACAGCCTGGCTGGGATTTCCTCCTGATGCCACCACTAGCAAACTGTAGGGAATTACATAAGTTACTGAACGTCTCCACTGGATTCTGCTGTGTTATAGGGTTGTTGTTGAGGATTAATTGAGTGAATGGCAGTGCCTGACCTGTAGTCAGTGTTCACTTGGGGTTAGCCTGTTCCTATTTTGCAGTGTGTGAACTCATGCTCACTACTGTGCCTTTCAGGTATTAAAGGAAAAATTTTATGTCTCACCTTTTCTTAAGGAGACTGTTTACATTTTAAAAGGATAACTCATGTATGTGTGCTAAATAGATCAGCACATAGGTTTTATTTACTCCTTACCTCTCCCTTCCAAACCTCTTCAATTCAATAAAGGAAGGTGTTCTTTCATAAAATAAAAATAATAGCAACACCCATGTTTCCAGTCCTAGGAAGACTTGAAATAGGAAAGTGGATATGTAAATAAGTAAGCAGAAACTTTCTACGTAACTAAAGATTAAAATTCTATGTCATCTAATTTCACTACCAAAACTACTACTCAGGTCAAATAATATAGCAGCCATTGTCATAAGAGGCTGTGAATACACTTTTTCCACCTGATGTTGCGCCTTCCTAACTATATACAGAGTTCATCACAACATTTTGCTTTTGTTTTTCTAATGTGAATGATCTCCAAATAATTATTTCCAAAGCATGTTCACCTTTTATGGTACACTAGATAACATGGAATAAAAGGATCTTTTTTGTTTGTTTGCTATATTTTTCTAGAGGAATAAAATGGGAGAGAGAGCACTCAGCTTTTCAACTGTACTGAACAAAGGGGCCCTTTGCAGCCCTGTATTCGGTCTCCTAGATGCATCGGCCTGAGCCTGGTTGCCAGAAATCAGTTGCCACAATTCCCTCCCCTCTTCTGTTGATTTTTCCTTCTTTTAAGACTAGCATTGAATGGTCAAGCATTTTGAAAAATACAAATTCTTTTTCCTGGCCTCATCGATCATCTCAAAGCAAACGGGAAATTCCAGTCACTCCTTACAACTTGGGAGAGTTGTCCAGAGAGTTTTCTACATACTTGGAAAATAGATACACTCTTAATATTTCAAGATTGTGTTTCAAAAATATTGAGCCACAAACTCAAGAAGCATGTGATTCCATGGGATCTGTTTTCAGATGAATATTCATTGAACTCTTTCTTGATAGAAATATCACAATACAAATATATAAAATTATATAAGGAAAGTCAAGAGAATGATTATACCATAGCACTTTATAATTTCATTTTATTTTGAGGATTCTATGACACTAGCCTTAGAAATTAGTTTTTACTTGATGAGCAGCTCAGGAAATTGCCTCATCTTGCTCAGGATATAGTACCCCACCTTTCCTTTTGGACAGCAGATATAATTTCTGTTTTTGTTATCTGCATTTAGGAATAATGTAATCACTGATAGATTAGCTTCCATTCATTTTATGTTTGTATCTGCCACATAAATGTTAATTATTTTTATATTAAGAGTCAATCTTAGTGAAATAATTATTTGGTCATACAAATAATTGGGAGACCCTTAGGTTCCCTTGGTCATATAAGCCTTAGGTTCCTTAGATGAATAATATGTCTTTCATCTCTAAATGGTATTATCTTTATGCATTGAGAGCCAAGACAGTGATATCATAAAAACAAAACTAGACTGTGATTGAGGAGACCTGAGATTTGAGTTTTGCCTTTGCTCTCAGTGTGACTTTGGACAATCTTGAACCTTCTCCGTACCTTATATTTCATCGCGAAGGGAATGCGATTATTTTATCACCTTAGTGAAAATCAACTCAGGAATTGAAAAGGGAAGATCAGAATCATCCCAGGGCTTGTTGAAACTGTAAGTGTTCCCTGCCTTCACTCCAGATTCTAATCAGCCCTCCTTCGAGCTCATACATCATGACTTAGGTCCCCCTCATACAGGGCGTAATTACAGCTGGATCTGCAAAAGTTACAGAGAAGAAGAAACCCATGTTTCCAACCATGTAAATGATATCTTTGAAAATTATTTCAAATATCTTTAAAAAGTCAACTATCTTACAGTGAGGCAATTTGCTACCACTAGGTTAGGTGTATTCTGTGCTAAGAAGGATTTTTGCTTGAATAACAACTTATAGAACTGAAATTTAACAGAAGGAACAAGCCTGGCACAGTTTTCAAAAGCATTTGATTCAGATGACCACCACTAGGCTCATGCAAGGGGCACTCTCCTACTTACCTTAAGAGAGGTCACAAGCCATTTCGCCGGTTGGCTCCCACTTCGTTAGATAGCACAGTTCTTTCTAGAACAAATATGGCATGCATAGGCTCATGAAATGAGAGGGAATTCAACAGCAATACAAAGCACATATGTTTTCTAGATAGTTTTATTAGGCCTTCTGTCAGATTTTATTTACTCTGATTATTTTTAATGAGCTAGCATTGGTTTTCCTGGTTGAGGTTCTTCCTGTTTTTCACTGTCCTATGTGTGCAGTTTCAGATAATTTTGAAAGTACAAGTGCCTGCCCCTATGTACTTGAACATCATCTTTAATGGTTTATGAACATGACTCTTGGCGTTATTTAGATCCAGTTGGCACCATCAGAACAACTGTGCTTCCTGTGTTTCTCCTCCTCTTCCAGCATTGTTAAAAAAAAACGTGTTTGAGTTTTCCATGTAGGTACTCATTATAAAATACATGCTCATTACAATAACATCACAAGGGATTTTACACTTCCAAACAGGTTGAAAAAAATTATTACCGACAATCTAGATAGTAGGATTTCTTTTGTTGACTTAGATGTTATTTCACACTCTTTCATAGTCCCAGGGAAAAAATAAACATGCTTTTATTTTATCTGTAAAAGAAATGACGTGTGTATATGTGTTTTTCACTGATCACAGCTAAGAGCACTATATTCTTCCCTGAACCACAAGAAAATAAACTAGGTATAGCTGGATATTGTTAATATGGACACACATACGATACACGTTATGTGTATATGCATATAGACCATATGCACACATGCATACACACAAATCTGAAAAAGGTATTTTATTCACATTTAAACTCATGGGCAAAAATTAGTAATAATGTGGATTATAGAAAAGGAACTGATGGTTTCACATTTTTCATCACCTTGCCAAGTCATCTTTATGCATTTTGCCCAAATCATGGTAACTTACTAAATGTCTCCTGAATTAACCTGTACGCTACCTCCACAGGTAAAGCTCGTTCTCGCAAACCTCTCCAGCTGGTGGTTGGCACTCTGACACCAAGCTCGGTCTTCCTGTCCTGGGGTTTCCTCATCAACCCACACCATGACTGGACGTTGCCAAGTCACTGTCCCAATGACAGGTAATATTAGCACTTGCTTTTAATAGCATCTGTACATGCTTTAGAAGAATGTGTAAGTATCAGGACTATTAGCGTTGACTTAACACCTATTAACTGTACAACCTATTCTAGGTGTGAGGGGAACAAAGATATGTAAGTCAGGGGTCCTGCCCTTGAGAAAGTTATCATCTACCTGAATAGAAAACACATACATGTAATTCTTTTCAAAAATCATAAATTAGACAAGGAAATAAGAGTCAAATAGCAAATAGGTGGTATCAATAATAAGTGTAATTAAAAACTCAGAAGATGGGGCAGTGAGCCAAGATTGTGCAGTCCAACCTGGGTGACAGAGTGAGACTCTTTTTTTTTTTTTTTTTTTGAGACAAAATGATGGATCAAACTTCCAGGAACTTTGCTTACAGAATAAATGCATGAGGAAATGCAAAGTAACAAGAAACAAGCAACATATACAATCCCTTGGTGATGTATGTAAAATCTAAAATGAAAATTTCAGGGGAGTGTTGCAGTGGATTCTGATGCTGGGCCAAGCTTGGATTTTGGCCACACTGAACCACAGCCTCTATCTCAGGGGTCCTACCAACAGGTAGAAGTTAAACTGAAAAGAAATTGTTGTGGTGGATCCTGACAGTGAGCCTAGCTTGAATCTTGGCCCAGTGGAACTCTAGCCTCTGTCCTCAGAGGGCCTACCAAAGGAACACATTGGGACAAATCTTGTCACTAGGCCAAACTTGGATTCCAGCCAGCTTGAGTTACAGCTGGTAGCTAGAATTGCTTCCAAAGGAAAAAATTATGCAAAAACAAAAAACAGCAAAGAAGGTTGGAGTGATTTGTGTGAGCGTGGGTAAAACAAAGGGGAAAGAAACTGGGAAGAGTATGGAAATACTCATCCCATCAGTTCATCAATTCTCAAACTGTTATTAAGAAGTGGGATGAGTGGGCCAGGCAGTGTCTCATGACTGTAATCCCAGCACTTTGGGAGGCCGAGGCAGGTGGATCACAGGGTCAGGAGTTTGAGATCAGCCTGGCCAACATAGTGAAACCCTATCTCTACTAAAAATACAAAAATTAACTGGGCACGATGATTCATGTCTGTAGTCCCAGCTACTCAGGAGGCTAAGGTAGGAGAATGGCTTGAACCTGAAAGGTGAAGGTTGCAGTGAGCCAAGATTGCTTCACTGCACTCCAGCCTAGGCAACAGAGCCAGACTGCTTCTCCAAAAAAAAAAAAGCCTGGGCACGGTGGCTCACACCTGTAATCCCAGCACTTTGGGAGGCCGAGGTGGGCAGATCACCTGAGGTCAGGAGTTCAAGACCAGTGTGGCCAACATGGTGAAACCCTGTGTCTACTAAAAATAGAAAAATTAACTGAACGTGGTGGTGTGTGCCTGTAGTTCCAGCTACTCAGGAGGCTGAGGCTGGAGAATCACTTGAACCCAGGAGGCAGAGGTTGCAGTGAGCCAAGATTGTGCCATTGCACTCCAGCCTGGTTGACAAAGACTCCATCTCAAAAAAAAAAAAAAAAAGAAAGAAATAGAACATTTTTATCACTCTACAAAGTGCTTTCCTCCAGAAGCAACCATTGATTTGATTTCTATCACCATAGGTTAGTTTTGCCTATTTTAGAATTCCACATAAATAGTCATTTAGTATGGGTTTTGTTGTTTGACTGTCTTCTTTTTTAGCATTGAGATTCATTCATGACATTGCAGATATAATAAATACTTTATTCCTTTTTTGTACCCCTGAGTAATAGTCTGTTATGTGAATATTCTAAAGTTTATTCTCTTGCTGATGGGCATCTGAATTATGTTTTCTTTATTTTTATGAATCAGAGCGTATAAACATTTTTGCATAAGATTTTGGTGGACATACATTTTAATTTCTCTTAGATAAATAAATAGAAGTGTAATTTCTGGGTTATAGGAAGATGTATATTTGACTATTTTTTGACTAATTTTTTCATCTGCATTCTCATGAACAATGTAGGAGAACTCTGATTGCTCCACATTCTAAGCAGCATTTTATGTTGTCAGCATTTTTCATTTTAGCCATTCTGGTGTAGTTTTTCATTACAGTTTCTATGTGCATTTCCCTTACACTAAGGCTACTGATACTTCTTAATGTGTTTTTTGGCCATATGTATATTTTTTGTAGTGTTTTATTTATTTCTATTTGTCCAAATGAAACTAAAATGAAGGAACTTTAAAAGGTTTATAAGCTCTCAAAAGTACCTTTCATTTGACTTTGGAAAATCTAGACTCAAGGAAAGATCAAATTTTCCTTCATATGCCCATGGTTCTCAACAGATGAATACTTGGAAAAACATGTGGACGATATTTCCAAAACCTAGTTTTTTGAAAAATAATTTTTAAACGTTTCAAAGAATCTGAAATATTTTTTATTTCACCCATCACTAATCCCATGACTTACTTTGTTTGGAAAATGAACTCAAAAGAACATGCTTTCTTGTGATAATTCCAGTTCCTAATGGAGTGGTCTAGGGTACTAATGCTGAGAAAATAAACATTTATGGATTGCTCTTTTTAAAAACTATCTTGTAAAAATAAAGTTATGGAGAGTGAAAGGAAGAAGAGAGGGAGGAAGGAAGAAAGGAAATTTGATCGTCTCACAGCAAAATGCAACCCTGATTTTAAGGGTTACTCACCTTGCTTGATAAATATGTAGTACTACTTGTTTCAATAGGTTCAGTGACCTGGCAAACTTGTATAGCATAATTTGGAGTAATTTCTGCCCCGTGCCCACCCCCCCACCAACCCTCAAGCCTCTCCTCCAATTTCGCTTTGTCCTATTGACTCTTCCGTGAAAGGATTTACCTGATGATTGATTCTAATTGATAGATGTTGCCATGATTTGACAGCACACAAAGATAATGAACATAGAGAAAGTTAGGACAGATGACCCAGTGGAGCTAGGATTTTAACCCAGGCCATTGACTCTAAGGCCCAAGCTATACAGACCACACATGGATCTCACCCTCACCCCCTTCGGCACACACCCTGACTCTAATCAAAGAGATGGAATCATGCGCATCAAATCACAATATTTGAAATCAGTAATTTCATTTTGAATAAAGTCTTTTGAAAGATACAATAAAGACTTGTCCAGATGCTTGCATACTTTCCAACCTGAATCCAGTGGGAGAGCAAGATATTCTTGACCAAAGTAGAGGACCATCAGGACATGAGTTGAAGAATTAAACAGTAATGACTAAAAAGAAGTATTTGGATTACTTGTAAATTTCATTTTTCCATGCCTTCTTTCTGACTAGTTAGCATAGTTAATAGAAATCTGACATTTAAATTCTTTGTGGTATTTGAGGAAAAAGTAATAGTCTCAATTTAAAAGCCTAGAAATACTGTACATATTAGAGGCATCCAAATAAATCTACCAGAACTATAAATTAGTGTAATTAGAAGCAGACTAGACTTGGAGAAATCTGCCCTCATATGTTCAAGCAGAATTTTTTTTTTAGAATTTAGACTAATCCGGTAGGTTAGCATAGCATAATCCAGTAGGTTAGCCTAATAGCCAAAAATGATGGTTATTTCCTGAAAATTGGAAGGTTAATACAGCTAAAGTTGTCCTCGGGAGTATCCTTTTACAAACCCATTGCAATCTGAATGCTCTTGGCTTGCTGCGGGAACACCAACTGGTATCATTTTAGTCCATTGATATTTGGTACCTCTGCATAGTCTCTGATTTTTTAAAAAATTGATTTACATTGGTTTGTGCAGCCTCATTGATCCTATGCAAATAATGTAGTAAAATTCATTTTTATATTTTGACTATGAACTTGGTATATCAAACCTCTGAGGTAGTAAGTTTCCAGTTAAAAAACTCTCATTTTTGTTTTGTTTTTAGCTTGGAAGTATCAGTAAAATGTCACTTTATCCTTTGTGGTACATGTTTCTATTCCTATTTGCATAGGGTCTGTATGGGTTAAGATTCTTTTCTGAGTTCACAGTGGAGAGCAGATGTGCTTCATTTACAATTTTTATTCTTAATGGGCTTTGAATGGAAGGGTAAATGGAAATGTGTACACTTACACATTTGTCTTCAATAGAGCCTCAATTTGAAAGAAATCTTTCAAATTGGCCCTGATGAAGAGTGAAATGTTTTTAACCCAAATTTATTTCACCCTTAATAGCTTATTTTTTCTTCCTCATGTTTCCAACTTGTTAAAGCTTTCAAGACTGCTTTAGTTCTTACTCTTTTGCCAACATATGAAAGCTTTGTGAATAGTTTAGAAATCATTTTCACATTTTCTAGCACTCTCATATGTTGTTGATTTAATGTGGAATGAGGGCTCTCCTTTTCAGCCAGTCCAGGGGAGGCTCTTGCGTTTCCCCGCCCCCAGGTTTATAAGAAGCGAGAATTTTCAGTATCTGAATTCGCACCTGATTGACTCCAGTGCCTTGTTACATTCTGTCTTGCCACGTAAGTCTGAAGCTCAGTGAGAACAGGGACCATGTGTGTCTTGCCCACCGTTACTGCCTGGTCCCCTGGGCAGCATCAGGAGCATAGCAGGCCTCAAGTAAATACATTCTGAATCAAATAACCAGTGAAATGTCGACATTCTCACTTGTGTGTGTCACCATTACCTCAAACTCAGCGTGACAAGATTAAACTCAGACTTCTCTTGAAATATCACCTCACTGGTCTCTGTACTGCTTTCTGAAGTAGTATCATGTTCCATTTGTTCTAATTTAAAACTTCGTTTATTTTCTATTTTTCACCTACTGTTGTTTAAGAAGTCCCCAAGATATATTCCTTTTGATTTTAAGATATATCCATATCTGCATCTGTGTCTTCTCCTTCTCCATTTCACACTGATGTTCCCAATCAAAGCACTTCACACCTTACCCTGGATTCGGGCAGCATCCTGGCTACATTCCCTGCTTTTTTTTTTTTTTTAACCCCAAACCATTCTAGCCTCCACAGTACTGATGAAATCTGGACTATTCTTCATCAGCTCAC